AAATTCATCCATCTCTAGTTGTAGAACATATGAAGCAACAAATAGATGGGGGATATATGTTCAAGTTGAACTTTTTCGTTCTCGTTGCTACGTGTTTGTGTGAGTCTATGAAGGCAGGGATAGCTAATCAAAGCTTTTTGCACTRCATTGCACATGAAGAAGATATAAATAACTTAGATTGGTGTGAGTTTGTCATCGATTGCTTGAAGAGAAGCAAAAAAAATTGGAATAGGGCTGATCCAACATCGTATTATTRTGGGCCACTGATGTTCTTAACGGTATGATTTATTTTTATTTACGTTGTATATATTTTTTTATATTAACTTGATAATGTTTTTTATTTCTAGTTACTCTATGTGGATGGATTGTTATGCCAAAATTTGCATGTTCAAAGAAGTTCTCCAGCAATCAAGGTTTGGACTACAGAACTTCTAAAAGAAAGAGAGTCTTTGGAAATCAAGTCTGGAAGTTTTGGCTATGGTATCCTTCAAGAACCATTTGAAGAAGAGGAAGAAGAAGAGGAAGATGAAGAGGAAGAAGAAGAGGAAGATGAAGAGGAAGATGAAGAGGAAGAAGAAGACGAAGAAGAAGATGTAGAAGGCCCAAGAAAAGAGGTATATATTTCAATATTTTGCCAATATAAAATTACTGCCATTTCGTTAAATTAATGAATATTCGCATGAAGCTTACTTCCATCTTGTTGGTGTATAATTCTTAGGTTATAATGGCTAGTGTGAGGAAATGCATGTGTAAAATCAGCAACACATTCAATCAAATGTATAAATTGATGGAAGAAGGAAGGACAAGTTTTCCTGAAGATGATGATATGAAGGCTCTAAATTATGAGTTAGAGTAGATGTTGGTTAAGCTTTATCCAACAAAAAAGAATAATGTACACGCACATACCAACTCCCCTTCAGTTGAATCAGTAGAAAAAGAAGGAGAAGAAGTACCTGTTGCTGAATTTCAACAARGTTGTGAAGCTCAAGTTCATCCTGTAGTTCAACTAGATTGCGAAGCTCGTCTACATGATGAAGCTCATTCAGATTGTGATGCTCAACCAGTTTTTGAAGATGGGAACAATGAAGCTAAAGAACAATCACTATTGGATAGCAACATACAGTCATCCAAGGAGATGAAAGAAGGGGCTGAAGATGTTTTTGGAAATATACTTGAATCTCCTGAGGTTCTTGAACATTTAGAAAGAATTATTCAAGATTACCTTAGAGAAAAGCAATTCCATGAAGATACTTATGATTTAYCCTCTTTTGATTTAAAAATTACCCAGGAGCTTTATGTAACCTCATCTTTGGTGGAAGCTATAAAGATAATGTCCCAAGAAGACAAGGAGATACAAGCAGGAGAAAAAAAGGAATTTGTGGATGAAGGAGTTGCAARGGGCAGAGGAAAAGAAGGTAAAAGAGAGTCAAAGCTAGCTGAAGTGTTAGTTTCTCCGTATAAAGTTCGAATTGTGGAACTGAAGAAAGATTTAACAAAACATGAGAAATTGGTTGCGAATAATCTGTTCTCAACAAG